AAAAAATACACTTTCATTCCAATAATCCAAGCGTGCCCATTGCCCAACAAGCTGATTTTCACCAATAAGCCACACAGATTCATCTGCTCGAGACAGTCGACAAACAAAAAAAGATTTTATAATTTTTCAGAAACAAGGAGATTACGGTCATCCCCGTCGGGCCCTTCTTGCGAGTTGCGTGTCTCTCGAATCTATCAATTTTAGGTTAAAAACGAAACGAGAGCTCTTTTTTCCCCTCACCGTCCGCCTGCTCTGTCCGGCGTCCGCTCGAGCAAATTCCGGTGGTTAGTAAGATTTGGAACGGTGTGTGAATATATACAATTTTTTTTGTTTTTTTTCAGAAATTTAAGATGGGATATGTGGATTTTGAGATTTCATTTGGGATAGAAAGTGAATGAATTTATGTATTAAGTTATGCCTGTTTTTTAACCCTAAATGAATTTGTTTTTATTCAGCAACTTTCTAGTATCTGTTGAATTTTTTTTAACCCTGAATGAATTTGGGAATCTGGGATAGAAAGATGGGATATGTGGATTTTGAGATTTCATCTGTAGACTGTATACCATTTATATCTTTCTAGTATCTGTTTATATATTTGATTCTGTTAAATAGAAAACAAATTAAAAGAATTATTTATTTGTCCCCTAATTTTTTTTTTCTCCCTTAGATATGAAAATGATGCTATAAATAGATTTAAACAGCTATATTGCCCTAATTCATTTTCCAGTGCCCACTCAGAAGTCACAATAAAAGTTTTAGCAGAAAGTAGAAAATAAGTTAGAGCTGAAACAGAATCTGAAACTACCAAAAACAACTCAATCTAGAGCTGATGAAAGAGGAAAGAATTTGATTTTTGAACAATAGAAAATAGTGAGAATTTTATGTGTGTGTATATCATTGTCAATAGATGGTAAGATTGTGATGTAAACATGGATAGGTATTAGATTTTTATTTATTTTTTTCTGTGACCTAATAGTTTTCATGTAATGAATACGGACTCGCAGACTGAATGTCGGATTTAATGTGAATGACACAACAGGTTTTAGGTTGATTTCTCAAATGGATGCCCATATAAAGAAGAATAAAACTATGCTCTCATTTTTCAAGCCCAAATCGACTACGAAAGATTCTTCTCACTTTAGTGCGGAAACATCAACCCAAAATGAGTTCGAAAATCAACATACGGCTAAGTATCAAAGGGTGGATATTGATGTTAGCGACTATGTTTTCCTTGATCCGGCTACGCGTATTCCAATATGGCAATGTCCGATAAATGAACGAGATGCAATTAGGCGGTCTTATATCTTGAGGGGACCGTATCAACCTATCATGGAGTTTCCGCAAAGGCTAATCGGAGATCAATACCGAAGCTTTCAAAAACGTTGGTACGAGAAATTTCCGTGGATAGAGTATTCTCCAAAGGAAGATGCGGCGTTTTGTTTTCCTTGTTTCATTTTTCAAGAAAAAGAGGCCCGTTATCATGCTTTTACAATTAGTGGATTTAATAGTTGGAAAAGAGTTAACGATGGCAAAAGATGCGCATTTTTGGGTCATGTCGGAAGCCCTACGTCACCACATAATAATGCTGTGCAATCCATGGGCCTTTTAATGAATGCAAGTGGTCACATCGATAAAGTGATGAATGCACATACATCAGAGGAAGTGAAAAATAATCGTTTGAGACTTACCGCTACAATCGAAAGCATCCGTTGGCTTTGTTTGCAAGGATGTGCATTGAGAGGACATGATGAATCATCATCTTCAAAGAATCAAGGTAATCTTATTGAGCTTATAAAGCTTATGGGCAAAATGGATGTCAATGTTAAAAATGTTGTTTTAGAAAATGCGCCGGGAAATGCAAAGTATACATCACCGGATATTCAAAAAGATATTTTGCATATTTTCGGTGAGAGAGTGAGGAGAAAGATTCGTGAAGAAATTGGAAGTTCAAAGTTTTGTCTCTTAGTTGATGAAGCTAAAGACATATCAGACAAAGAACAAATGGCTATTGTCTTAAGGTTTGTTGATCGTGAAGGTTTCTTAAAAGAGCGATTCTTTCATATTGTGCACGTACCTAATACCACTGCCTTGACACTTAAGAATGAGGTATCTAATGTGCTTGGTCGATATGAGTTGCATCTCAAAGATATTCGAGGTCAAGGATACGATGGAGCTAGCAATATGCGTGGATCGTGGAATGGTTTACAAGCTCTTTTCATAAGGGACTCTCCACAAGCATATTATGTACATTGTTTCGCACATAGACTTCAGTTGGCATTAGTGGCAGCGGCTGAAAAAGAGAGCTCTATTTGGCTATTTTTTTCAAAATTGACGTCAATTTGTAATCTCATTAAGGCATCGCCAAAACGTCATAGTGATTTACAATCCGCTCAAGCTATTGAAGTTGCAAATATGGTAGCCCTCGGTATTCGTGACACGGGTACAATTGCTTTTTTATTTTACTTTTTAATTACCATTAATTTGTGATTACATTAAATTTTTATTTAACTTTTTTATTTGTTTTATGTAAAATAGGTAAAGGACTCAACCAAACTACAACTTTGCAACTAGCTGGAAAAACACGTTGGAGTTCCCATTTTGAGTCCATTTGCAGTATGATAGATATGTATCGTTCTGTGATTATCGTGCTTGAGCATATGACGGAGGAAGCATCTTCTAATTCTATACGTGGGGAAGCTACTGGTGCTTTAATTGCGATGAGATCATTTGATTTCGTATTTATCTTATTTTTGATGCACAAGATTATGGCGATCACAGATTTGCTTTGTCAATCTTTGCAAGAGAAGTCTTTGGATATTTTAAGCGCAATGGATTGTGTGTCAACTACAAAATCATTGCTTTGTACTCTTAGAGAAGATGGCTTCGATACTCTTCTTATATACGTGAAAACATTTTGTGAAGAAAATGGCATTGAGATACCGGATATGAGCGCTTGTCATCGATCTTCTAGGGGACGTTTTTGCCAACAGAAGTTTCCCACAACAGTTGAACATCATTATCACTATGATGTATTCAATGCGACGATAGATTTTCAATTGGAAGAGCTTCGTAGCAGATTTAATGATGGAGCTGTAGAACTTCTCCGACTCAGCTCTGCATTGGATCCTCGAGATAACTTTAAGTTGTTCAATGCCGATGATATTTATATTCTTGCCGAGAAATTCTATCCTAATGATTTTAGTGGGCAAGAGCTACATTATTTGAGGAGTCAGTTAGAGCATTATAAGGTTGATGTTGTCCAGCATGAGAAGTTCCAAAATATTTCTACAATTTCTGATTTATGTCGACGGTTAGTAGAGACGGAGAAGGCAAGACATTACCATTTAATTGACAGACTGATTCGCCTCATTTTGACGCTTCCCGTTTCTACTGCAACAACCGAACGATCATTTTCAGCTATGAAACTTCTCAAAACTCCTCTTCGAAATAAGATGGAAGAAGACTTCTTGGCGAATTCTATGATTGTCTACATTGAAAGAGAGTTTACTTCGAAAATCGACACAGATTCGATAATTGATGAGTTTTATAATATGAAGAACCGGAGGGCGCATCTTAAATAGGTTTTTTTTTTTTGAATAGTTGTAATGAACATGAATCATTTTATATGAGTTTTTTAATTAAAATTTATTTTTTATTTTTTCTTTCTAAATTTTACCACGTGTCTTCAATCATTCTTATAATCGATCAGCCCAGGGTATTTTATTTTTCTGGCTACGCCCCTGCTATCATGTCTCCAACCAAACAAGTTAAACTTGTTGAATTTATATGTATTGGGCAGATATCATGCACAATTACCCAACCAATCACTCCCATAGCATATTCCATCCTATCAAGGTAACAAATATTATTAACCCAATCCCAATCTATCATTTTGGTCAACCTTGACACGTGCCCCTCACGTGCTTTCGTGTTGTACGAGATGAGAAAATTGCTGCTTTTCACCTTCTCCCTTAAATCGGCAAATTCAGGTCAATCCATGAAAGAAAGACCTGCAAATGATACTCTCTCTCATCTTTCTCTCTCTAAACCTCTCCACTCTCTTTCATTCCGCCATAGCCAGAGGCTCTGCGCACCATCGCTCCAAGAACTCAGGTGGCGCCGTCTCTCTCCGCTCGTGATCTGAGCTAACAGCTTTTTCTATTTTCAGCTTCAATAAATGAAGCTTCGGATGTAGCTCAACAATTGATATTTTTTCAATAATATGCTTAGGAATTTACTTTAGCAACACTTGATTAGCTGCGGCGTTATGAAAAGAAACTTATGATTTGCAGCGACCTTTTTTATGTTTATTAATTGCCAAATGCTGAATTTATGATCTTGAATAATTAGACTGGTTCAATTTTGTATTATATTTCATGAAGTTCTGCTCTGCAGATTGAATCTGATAGTTATTGGCAGTATCTGATTTTGTGTGTGAGTATATGGTTACTTTATTTATAAATTCTGCCGGGGTTTGGATAATTTTCATACTTAGGTTCCTCAGTACATGTTGAACATCCAGTGAATATTTATTGCAAAACATTGGTTTTATCTGTTGTCAGGTTACATTGAAAGTACATATGGACGTCCGAGGAGGCGGTTGAATTCCCAGACTGAATTTAAAATGTCTGAGGAAGTGTACATTGAAAAGCTGTAAATTCTTCAGCTTTGATCTCCCTCATACTTTTGTCAATTTGAATTGTAGGATTAAAATAGCTAGTATACAGGCTTTATTGAATCTGAAACAACATGGATTTGTTTATGTTCTTCAGTGAAAAATTAGCCCAAGGATATATGAGCAATACTGATCTCGAGAGGGAAATGAAGGAATTTAACAACCGATGTCGTAATATTTCCAGGTTATACAGGTAAAAGTTTCTGTCTCATGTACCATCCTCAGAAACTATGACTAGGTAATTTACTGCTAACTGTTTGTCAAACAGTTGTAGAGGATTCAAACAGTAGCTTTAGCCTTTCACTACATTTGTTAAGGACCTAAGGTGTAAACTTCATGATTGCATCAGAGAAATCATCGATTTTTCATTCATCAATTGTAATAGTGTTCTCAATGTGTAATCTGCATAACAGTGTTTAGGATATGAAAGCATTATCGATGTCCTTATTGTATGTTCTTTAATTGACCAGGTCATAGATTCACATGAGATCGAGATGTTCATTCACTGTTAAATGTCAAAGATGATCAATCAATTATCTTCCTATTGCTCAATAAGGAATTTCCTCCAATGCAATTAAGGAACACTTATAAGGTGACTGATACACCAAATTAAGGATATGTTTTTGGCAGAAAAATTGGTCTGATAGCACAAGAAAAATATCATGTTGCTGAAACGTCACCAACTCAAGCCTTGGCACCAGTTATTGTATGAGGAATTTTTGCCTGTGATTCATTTTCATTATATTTAATCAGAACCCAAACGAACCAGTTGTTGGCCTTTTAGGGGGCGATTGGTAACAGTCAAACAGTTAAAATCAATTAAAATTGATCTTGAGTTATAAGTGAGTTATTTTGAATAAAGTTTAAAATTGATCCCAAGTTAAAGTGTGTTATTTTGAATAAAGTTGGTTGAGTGGGATGAGAGAGATTTTAATTAAATAATATTTAAATGTAATGATTAAAATTGATGTGGTGTAAAAGTAAAAGAGAGATGATGGAAGTGATAGATAGTTAAAAATATGTGAGTGTATATAGGGAATTAAAGTTGATGGGATGTAGGAGAGAGATGATTGATATTATTTGATTATATTGATAATATTGGAGATAGTGAGGTTGAGTTAGATTTTGAGATAAAGTGAGTAAAAAAAACTGATCCAATCAAAACTGATTTTGATCAGTTTTAACTACTTACCAATCGTCCCTTAGTTTCTGCATCTTTGGAGGATTTTAAGCTTTTGCTAGAGAATATTTCTGATACCAATGATTACATATTGATACAATACAAGATTTTGATCCTTTCCATGTGTGGAGACTACGATCTAAAGTGATACTCATGTGTACTGTAGTTGTGGCAGAAATTAATAATCCTGTTATTGAGCATTGCATTTAGATACGATGCTTCATTTCCTCTGGTCCATATGTACAAACTATGGTCTAAGCACTAAGTGGGATGTATTTCATATGGTCTAAGGACTAAGTAGGACGTATTTCACATTCCCGTTGTTGGTATCTAAGTGAATAGCATGGTGCACACTGAATTATTAGTGACAACCAAGAAGTTTCAGATGTTAGCCTTCTTGTATGTGCGTTTCGGAGGAAGCAAAATAGGTGGTTCCTTGAATACTCATCTGAAGCGCAAATTGTATAAATTTCCTGTTTTTGCTTCATTATACTGGTGTTTTAATGGGTTTAAAATATTCTAATAAATTCTCGTTTCTTTCTTTGAGGGATTGCTGAAATCAGTATTGGGAAAAGTGCACTTGGAGTTCCCCTGGTACTGCTATCCCTCCCAACTCTAGTTTTAACGTGTTGGCACGCTGTGCTGCCGACAGTTGTAGTTTGTCAAATATGAGTAGTTATTACTCACTGACCTTTTCCTTTTCCATTCTTTTTTCCAATGCAGTGGGCATTGGAAATTTCTGACTTGCCTGGGAAAATAGAGGCTGAGCCGGCTTTCAAGGTGAAATTATTAACCATCAATCCATCATTCAATTATGGCTTTATTTGAGTGTATTGTATAGTAAGTAATGTCTGCCAAGTATACGGAACTGAAAATTTCTGGAATAGGCAAAGGATTTAAAAATGCATTTGAAAAATGACAAGGTGTTATGTGCTTCATCAGCATACATCATACATGTTGATGTGTGTGTAGTGGAGATTATAGGGTATTGATTGTGAATTTCAGGCAAATGGTAATTTGTCCTGAAAGATTTGCAAATACAATGGTTGCTGTTAGGATATCAATATTCATATTCACATTCACATTCACTTGGGGACCACCACTTGTGGGAAAAAACAGCTTAAGTGGTAATGCATTGTAAAACTCAAATTATCATAAGATGATTTGATTATTAGCTTCCTGTTTAATCCGTTAGTATATATTTTTTTTCTACTGATGGGCTTTTAGGGTGTACAATTGTGAGGCCTTGGAGAAACATTTTGAGTCTGTTTTCACATAATTGCTTAGGTTAAGATCAAGTAAAGCATGAAAAGAAAGGACCAAGAAACTACAGGCTTGTTCTTTCAGTAGAGGAAGAGCTCATATGATGTAGATATTTAGTGAAAACCAAAGAAAATTTTTTGTGACAGTAAGAGTACGGAATAAGGATCTTAAAATTAATTTCTGGAATTTTTAAACCTAGACAGTCCCTAAATGTGATTATTCTCTTCATAAGACTGTTGTACAGAAATTATTTCTATATGGCTTCATTGTTCAAGAACATAACAATCTGTGATTTGCTGGAGTGAGCGTGAGCTAAACGTAATGGACTGCGATGACCTGACTGAATTGTCCCTTTAATATATTTGCCGAAGGTTTAAGGCGGTATTATTTCATTGATGATTAAAACTAGTACGTAACCCGTGCGATGCACGGAATGTAAAATTTGAAAGAATAATATAACCTCACGTGCATTAGGATCGAAATTGAAATCATTAAAATACATAGGAACATTGTTGAATCATAAAAAGTTCGGTAACAATCATATATAATTAAAAACCTCCTTGTACACAACATTATGAGTTTGATTATTTGGTAACTCCTCATTATCACAAACTAATATTTTCAAAAGAGACAAAATCCTAAAAATCAAACTAATATTTTTGGTGAACAAACTAATATTTTAGGATTGGTGAACAAACTAATATTTTAGGATTTCTAGGATTTGTCTCTTTTTGGTGAACAAACTAATATTTTAGGATTGGTTATATGAATAAAGCTACCTGTTTTTGGTGTTCTTTTCATTCATTTTCATTCAAACAATCCGATGACTTGTATAATGAAATCCGAATCTTAAGCTGAAATATTTAAAAAAAGAGTTTTTAAAAATTGAAAAGTCAAGGCAATCAGTTCAGATTAATTAAAGGTCAAAGAATATCCGCTCCTTGAAATAAAGACGTGTGCTATCATTAACAAAATATCCAGTTATTGATATAGAGTGGTTACCAAAAAATAGAATGCGATAAGGACGTTTCATGGAAATATTAATGGGATAAGGTCATAACAGATCGCTATACATTTTAACGATAAACCTCAGATGGAATGATTTATGATAATTATGTCGTAATTAATGAATTAATTAGATGTGTGAAAAGGACATAATTAATGAGAAGTGTGAAAATGACATAATTAATGAGAAGTTGATATATGATAATTATGTCGTAATTAATGAATTAATTAGATGTGCGAAAAGGACATGAGAAGTGTGAAAAGGATAAAAACTTATCGGTTTTGGAAAATATTTAATGCAAATCCGACATTGACCATAATTTGACCTACTATTTTGGATAAATGTTAATTCTTATTATATAAGTATAGATTGGAAAATGTCACAGCAATAATTTTTCAGTGGCTTCGCAATTTTTACCCTCCAAACTAATTTGAGTGAATCATTATGGACTTCTCCTTTATGATGTCGTTTTGGTTTTTTCTCTATTGGTTCGATCAATTTAGTAATTCATGCATGATAGGACAAGGTCGAAATCCATTTGATCTAGTTTTCTGAGTGATAAGATCAGTTGCCTTGTATAATTGTATTGCAGTTCATCGGAAATGTGCATGGCGATGAACCTGTAGGCCGCGAACTTTTGTTGCTTCTAGCAAATTGGCTATGCAATAATTATATGAAGGACCCCTTGGTAATAATTTCTTGTGTCCTTTTTTTAATATTTCCCCCTTCTTCAAATTCAACATGTTTTTCTTGACGTAGAATCCTACTTTTGTATCTTACTATAGGTTTACGGATGAGCGTTGATGTCATAAAAAATCTTACTTTCCCAACGTGGAAATCATGCTCTCTGAATCTAGTTTCTGGTTTTTCTCTTTTAATTACTATTGTTCGATGACAATAATTGTCTTAACGGCTTTCTGACTAGCCAGTGTGGCAGCATACGGGATCCTTTGCATAGCTTGATGGATTTGGAATAATATCATGTACATGTCTGGCTTGTTCTCCTGATGGAGACATTAATCATTTTCTTGAGTCAAATGATCAGGAGATATTTGTCAAAGATCGTTTTAACTTGAGTCAAATATTTTTGTTTGGCACTGACCTATTATGCTTAGTGTCTTATATGTGTGCACATTATGTAGTGCTTGCAGCGTGGAGTAATTTTAGCGTGTTTCTGTTGGTAGGTGACCTTGATCGTTGATAATGTCCACCTTCATATACTTCCAACCATGAATCCTGATGGATTTTCTCTGAGGCGGCGCGGGAATGCAAACAACATTGATTTAAATAGAGATTTCCCAGACCAGGTATTGGTGCTGCATTATATTATACTTTGAGGAAATATATACTCTGGGTGGGTGAAAATTGCACCGTTTTACTTTAAAGTCTGTCTTCTGGTTTAAGTTTTTGGCTCTTAAAAAATAATGAAACTTTACTGCTATCTGTAAATATATATGGTCCCCAGCTGGTTTCAGTGAAGTCGTGATTTTATTAGTATCTGTTCTTCAGCTTAAAAATAAATTGTCATTCAATAATTTGAATCATGGGATTCCTCATAGACATATTAGAAATGTATGTGTGGGGATGTGGACAAGTTTGATTGAAATGAAAAATACTTTATCCTGGAGTTAGAAAAAACTTAGATTTTCCACTTTGGCAAAGCTGAAATGGAATAATAATTTCAATTGGAGTCCAAAATGCTGAAATGTTAAGAATAAAGCATAAGCTAGACATTCATTGAACTAAGTTTGGTTTCCAGAAATCTTTCCGAGAATTCGTTTCATAAGTCCCTTCTCTCGAGGTCGTCGGTAATGACCTGACCCGATCCGGCCCAGGTCTATAGTCGATACCGCGCGTGTACTCCACTAGATTCAAGTTTCAGTTGTAGATAAAACCACACGGCTATTCTTTTACTGTAATTTATTTCTTTTCTTCTACTTTATGTTTTCTTTCAGCAAACAACTTGACTACTGTTGTTTTCCTAGTATTTGGAACCATTCATTATATAGAGCATAGACTGACATCATTGACATAGTTTTTCACCATGAATGATGATATGGACTCACGGCAACCTGAAACAAAAGCAATCATGAGTTGGACGGAAAATATACACTTTACAGCATCTGCCAGTCTGCATGGGGTAAAGTTCATCATTGAACCTTGACAAGTTTAAAAGTACATTCAAAACTTTGTCTAGTGAATTTAAATCCCATTTCATTCTAGTGGAAAGCATAATTTCTTTTGTTTGCTTGAATCTTCTTCCATAAATAGCTTCATGATTTTCAGGTACATGTGATGCAATATCCATGAAGAGAATTTTCAGAAAGGATATTGCCTTTTAACTTTTGGTGCAATATCTCATGAACTACAAAAATTTTATGTTCTCTTAAATACTTCATTGCACCCTGTAATATCATTGTTTTCTGCTTCATTTGATACCTCAGCACGCACAGATTTGTCAGTACTGGACTGGTTACATTTTGAGTATCTTGCGATGTTTTTTTCACATGGACATGAAATATGTTTGAAATGTTTAATGAATGATGGGTGGGTTGGGGAGAGGAGTGGTTATGATAATGGAGGTGACTGACCTAGAGAGATGAAGGATTTATTTATTATAGATTCTATTTCAAAGTAATTACTTTCGGGATAGTGTTTATATGACATACACTCACTTAAAGCCAAAATCAATATAAATCTTTGAGAGAGAATTCTACTATTAGTGTTTACAGTTGTTACGATCACTTTTTTAAACTTTCCTTTTTTGCAGGGGGCACTTGTTGCAAATTACCCATGGGATGGAACTGAAGATAAAAAGTGAGTTATCTACTGGTAATTAGTTTAAGTTCTCTGTGATGTGATACTAATTTTTTCTTTTACATTTTCTTTTCTCCCTTCTTTTATTATATCATTTTGTTTGTAAATACTTTTTTTTACCTTCGACATATATTCTGGTCTAAGGCTTATAATCGTATGTTCACTCTATTCTGTATATTAATAGCTCTGGTTCCTATCAGATGCATTCTTTGTAGCATCCGGTGGCCAAATTTATTTTGCTTAGATTATCGTGTTTTTAGATGTTTCTATTTCTTTTAACTATTCTCAACAAGAATTAATTGGTGTTTGGGAATATACAGGAGATATTACTATGGATGCCCTGATGACCAGACTTTCAGATTTTTGGCCAGTTTATACAGTAGATCCCACTATAACATGTCCCTAAGCCAAGAGTTTCCAGGAGGGATAACAAATGGAGCGTTTTGGTATGCTTGTAACTAAAATCACAAGCTACATTCTGGCCGCTCCTTCAAACATAACTGTAGTTTATGGCTTCTTTCTACACTCCATTATAAACATTTCAAGGAATTTGCATTGAAACTCGATGTTTTCCAAATTTCCTACTATCTGATGCACTTTGTAGGTATCCGATATATGGTGGAATGCAAGATTGGAATTATATTAATAGTGGATGCTTTGAACTTACGCTAGAGATAAGCGACGATAAATGGCCTAATGCTACTGAGGTTGGACATTTGTTTAAGTTGTCTGCTCATTAATCTTTCTTATATCATATTCTTTTATAATTTTATATCTACACACTTTTATGGTATGCCAGTTTAAGGTCGTTGGATTCATGCTCTTTCAACAACTTGATATTAAAGACATTTCATTCTAAAATTTCTGGGTGCAATGACCTTTGACTGGAATATTATTTTATTTTTATTTTATTTTTTTGTGTCCAAGGATGGGACCCTGTGTTACATCACAATTCTTGATGCAGGCTTTAGGTCCCATTGCTTCACGTTCTTGTTTATCTCTGTGATTTTTTATACTGGGCAGTTTCTGCTGTTCTTTTGACTTTGGTGCTATGTTGCATTTTCTTTCCCGGTCCTCGTTGTATTCTCTTCTATTCTAGCTTCCAACTCTATGGGAATACAACAGAATGAGTATGCTAAACCTTGTTGCCAGTTTAGTTAAGGTATGTTCAAAGACTCTGAATGAGTGAATTCATAAGTATATGCTTGTCTTCCCATCAATCAATCTGTTTTTCCCTTCCAAAAATGTTCTTCTTTTCGTGTTCTTCATCTCTTTAGTGTTAGTGGCCTTCTCTAGATGATTTTTAAGTAACTGCTGTAAATAATTTTGTCTAATTGTATTCGATGCTTTTGTCGATCATGCTTTTGAAATGTAAACCTCTTAGGGTGTGATTGGATATAAATTCAATTAAAAAAACTAATCAAAATTTAAATTTAACTCAACCCCACTATCATCGATATTATCAATATAATTAAATAATATCAACCAATCATTCTTATACATCACATCAACTTTAATTCACTATTCATCGACTCACATAATTTTTACTAACCATCACTTCATATCATCTCTCTCATACTTTTACATCAAATCTACTTTAATTATTTAATTTTAACTTAAACTTAAATTTCCACTAACTAACCATACTACATTTTTCAAATTAACTATGCCTAACAAAAAAACTAATCAAATCCATATTCAATCACACCCTTAGGCTTTTGTGAGGGTAATGATCAGGTGAAGATCCGAGAAATACGTGTCTTGGTAGAAAAATGCATTGAAAACCTGCATTGGAAATTGCACAGAAATGAGTTGTTATTCCCAAAATTTGGTCAAAATTAGTACTTCTTGAGGCATTTTTTTGGTGAAAGTTCTACACTTCAGTTGTTCTTCACTTCCTATTGCTCAGACAGATATATACAGTTCATATAGTTCTTTTTGCTCTGTGTTAGGAACCTATCCATAAGTGCATTCTCACCGTTGTAATGTAATGAGTTTTGTACCTTATGCTGAGTTGTACTTCTTAATCATACAGACAGGATTACATGGACAGATTTCTTCTTCCGATAATGGAAGACCTTTACCAGCATCAATAGCTATAAGGGGGATAAACTCTACGGTATCTATGATCATTTCCTGCTATCTATGCTCGATGTTTATTTTTAACACTGTTCAGGGTAATTGGATAAAGAAAAGAAAAAGAAAAGTCGTATAACTAGGGACCTCAGCGTCTGAATATTATTATGAATGGGTCATTATTGCAGTCTCAGGCCCAATTATAGTTAATACCGCACCTTCTACTTTTTGTATTAAGATATCTTATGGTATTAACTTAAGGCATCTTGTTATGTTGTTTATAAGACACTCACAAGCATTATTATCTAATTACCTGTACTTAGTATTATAACGATTGACAGGTTGCTGCTACCACGAAGTTTGCTGATTACCATCGATTGCTAGCTCCTGGAGGAAAGTATGAAGGTAACTGATTGGAGACACTTTCATTTCCTTGTTCTCCATGAGTCCTATCGTTTGTTGAAGAACTTATGAGCTCATACTTGTCGCAACTTATAGAGCCAAATTGTAATCTCAACTTAACTGCTATAATGTCAAGACTCAAGACACCTAAAATCCGTATTTTTCTTCCCCTGTGAAATTTGTGTGGTCTGCATTCCTTCATGTAGTTAACCTCCTGTATTTAGCTAATTTGTTTCATAAAAAAAATACCATATAAAAAAAGTATAAAATTTTATGTAAAACTGCTGAGCAGTTGATATATTAATTTTCTTTGGTCAGTCGAATTGCATGTTAACCAGTTCAACATTCATGCTTGCATCTGATACAAGCCTAAAACAGAAATTAAAATTTACTCAGAAGGCACTCAAAAAACAAAACTCTCGTCTTGTCCACTTATACCCCATATACAGTTATCTGCAGCTTTGACCTCATTAGAGTATCATTTTACAGATGGTTCCTTCAGAGATTGAGTGGTTCCAAGGCTTTGACACAAGATTTAGATTTGTAAACACCATTACAAAGTAACAGATAAGATATATGAGAGACAATCTCATGTGACCATCTGCCTTGCAACTTCTGCAAGAAAACGGAACAAAGTTTTAGAAACTAATAAATATAATAAAAAAAAAAAATTAAATATCAATTATTCGATTGTTTCGTTCCTAGCATTCCATTTTGGCTATCTTGACCTGTTCTCTAAGATGCACTTTGCCATTCACTTTTGTTGCAGTTATTGCAACCATGCCAGGATACAGACCCAAGAGTGCTTGTGTTGTACTCGGGCAGAGTGCAATTACGGTAGATTTTGTTCTTGATCCCGAGACTAACTCTGAGGGTAGTAAGCCTTTAGAGGATTCTGGCTGCTATTTTGACAACACATTCGGAGTTCAAGTCATGGACTTTATGCCCGTGCCACGTTTGGAAATCCCAGTAATATTTATTTTAATGTTGGGATTTCTTTTCTTCTTATTGAAGAGAAGAGTAAGATCGAATCATCTTAACCAAAAACAGACGACGCCAGTGTCCAAACGAGCTGTCATATGATATAACTAGATTTATAGATCTGTATGTTGTAATTCTTAATTGTATTA